GCAGCTGTGGAGGATGAAAGCACAGTGAGCCATACTGGGGAGCTGCTCCCTCCAAGTCTGGATGGTAAGGCACTGACTCTGTGTGGCAGCTGGGCATGCCTGGGGTGTTTCACTTGGTACCTGGGGGCTTGGGGAGAAGCCCATGCCACTTCACCCCAAAACATGAATTGTTTTTTCATGCCTGTCCTGTCATCCACTTCCATCAGCACCTTCCCAGCTGCAGCTTTCTCCTTGCTCCCTCTCCGCCTTTCAGACCCTTCCACAGTTGCTCAGACACTCATGCTCTGCGCAGGGGCTGAGCCTGGTTGAGGGGAGAGCCACGTGGTGGGTCAGGGCTAGGAATGCGGACACAAGGGCACCTCTTTGGGAAGTCTCTGAGACAGGATATTGATGGTGTAACAAGTGAGCTGACCTGCAGTCGCTGTTCCCCAGCCCAGGGCAAATGCAGAGTCACTGGCTAAAACTAACCCTCTTAACTCAGGCCCAGGAGTGTATGCTGCAGGCCGAGGCCCTGCTCACAGCAGCTGTCAGAGCTTGATGGGGGGACATGACTCATTAACCTGTGGTAATGCGGTTGTGTCTGAGCACATGGTCTTCTTGGGAGCAGTGTGGCTCTGCGAGGAAAGAGGGCTGTGTGTCCCAGAGGTCTTATCAGGAGCAGGAGTGAGGAGAGCTGTCCACACTGGTGTTTCTTAGCACTTGTCTCATGGTCAAGATGAGAGACCTCAGCCGAAGTCCTTGATGCTCCGAATGTGCTTATCTCCCTCCTCTGTGGGTCCTGGTGTTGGCTTTTCCCAGACACAGGGCATACTTGTGCTGAAGCCGATCTGCCGCACTGTGCCATTAGCTGACCCATCGCTGGTTACGAAAGCCTGACAAAAAGGAAGGAAGGAAAGGGTGTGAAGTACAGACAGTTCCTCAAAGCCTTCTCTGCACTGCACACAACAGGCAAAATTGGGTCCTGCAGGCCACAGGGGAGCAGGACTTACACTCTCCTTAAGGCGGGGTGCTGAGGCTGGCTGTGCTGGGGCATGAAACAGCACCCAAAAATTTCCCCAGATGCTCTAACACAGACATCTCTACCATTAGCTCCTGGACATGGCTTGGGATTGAACACTGTCCAGAAACCGTTCTACAGAAGTTTACATCTAGCTCCCCAGTCCTGGAAATGGAGAGGGTTTAACAGGCGCTGCCTTCAGTCCTGGGCCCATTGAATTTGCTAACGTGTATTTCACTGTATTTGCTGCCCCCTACCCTGTTCTCCCTCCTGTCTGTTCTCACTTTCACACTTGTCCCCAGGACTTTCTGGGGTTACGATTTAGCGAGCAATAACACAGAAGCCAGAAGCAAACTGACCACTCTCCCTCTTGTGCACTGGGAGTCCTTCTGCTGAAGGCACTTGGCTAGAGATGCTCCACATGCATCCCAGCTTCTTCTGTCCACCTGCAGCAGGAGTGAACATAGTTGCTGGAAACAAAGGGTTTTCTCCTTGAAAGATGTCCTGCTATAACCTCTTCCTTACTGCAGGAGATTTCCTCTCCTCCACTTCTGGTGCCTCTGTGAAGCTCCAGCCTAGCCGCTGTTCAAGCCAGCTGGGCCACGCTCCGGACCAGGTCTCTTCCTCCCTGAGCTCACCTCCGAACACCGTCAGTGCCACCCCACCCTTCGCTGTCGAGCCCCGCAGCGGCACCGTCCCTGCTGGCCAGGAACAGCTCTTCCAGATGAAGTTCTCTCCGGTGTACGTGGGGGATTTTGAGAGCCGTATGCTCTGCAGGTAGGGAACGTCCCGGCACTTTTCAACTCTTGCTGCCGATGGACAGTGGTGATACGGCTGCTGGCTGGGGTGGGTGGGAGCGCGGACCAGGAGACAGCCAGCCCCAGAGAGGCAGCAGAAACAACCAAGATGCAGGAGTGGAGAAAGGGATCATCCAGCCTTGGTAAAAGCAGGTACAGACGCACTGAGAAAAGGCATTGCATGAAACATTAAGCTCTGGGAAGGTTGCAGAATCTGGAATGAGAGATCCAGAAAGGCTGTCGAGGGGGCAGCGAGTCTCTAGCTATACTGTCTTACCAGACAAGCATGGCATCCTTATCTACATAGAAACCCTTGTGCTGTGATGGGTTTCTAGACACCTAACTGTTCACGTTTCTGCCATTTCACCTCCGTGGTGGGGGGTGCAGTTCTGTTTGATTTGCTGATCAGTGCTTGCACAGAGATAGGATGAATCACTGAGCCGTACAAGGAGATAGACAAGCAGTTGCCTGGCTGGAAAGATTAGTCTGGCTAACACCTGTCCCTTTCTTCCTAGTATTCCTAACCTGAAGCCAAATCAGAAGGGCCCAGAGGTGGTTGTGAAGGGGAGAAGCCTGATGCCAAACTGCCACTTTGAACTGGAAGACTCTGACTACCTCACCGCAAAAAGGCGCAACCCACAGTTGCAGGGACCAAGGGGGGCAACGTTCGATCTCAGCACAAGGGTGATAGAGTTTGCGGC